TGCATTTTACGCAAATTTCCATTCATGTGGGGGATTGTTGGAAACGGGGGCATTAAAAACATAAACTTTGGATGAGATTTGAAATAGATTCCGTTAATAATTTTTTACGGATCTCTAGACAAGCCCGTTTCTCTCCATAAGGAGATGAATGTGGTATATTTACTTTCTGAAATCCGTTTCTGGATGAATGAGAAATTAGCTCCAAAGTGTGGTGTTTTGATAAGCCTAAATGGGTATGCAAAATGTGGGAAGTGTTTGTTCCACATGGAAAAAATGTTGAAACAAATTGAAATTTAAATAAGCTGAGTTTATGATTTGGGCTTGAGCTTGGGCCTAATTGTAAAGTCCAGATTATTCTTTTTTGGAATTTTGGATTGGGCCTAATTTTGGGCTGGGCTTATTTAAATAGGTTTTACAAATGAGTGGGTTTTTTGGGTGGTTGGTTTTTTAAATTAAAAAAAAAAAAAAAAAACTACTTTTTAGTTTTTCTAAAAGGTTACACCTTTTAAATTAAAAAACCATATTTTAGTTTTTCTAAAAGGTTACACCTTTTAAATTAAAAATCCACTTTTAGTTTTTTCGAAAGGTTACACCTTTTTCCGAACCATCATGACCCATGGTTACACCCACTCGAAAAGACACATTGCAACCTATTGGAATGGATGTGTCTATTGGTGAACAGACACCACGTGAACCATTGCAACCTATTGGAATAGATGTGTCTAGTGGTGAATAGACACCATGTGAACCATTGCAACCTATTGCAATGGTTGTGTTCAATAATGAAGAGATACACCCAATCCGAAAAGGCATTTCTGTTTCTATAAATACCCCCATTTGGATCATTTGCAATTCGTTCATTTTTCATTTTTCTTCTATCTCCCTCTCTAGACTTGAACCCAACCTAAGTGGGTTCAAACCATAGGTTAAGTGGTCCGAATCACTTAGACCCTAATCCAATTTCATCGAGCCATATTAAGATTGGTCCGAACCATTTGGTTCGGATTACACCTAATTCAGCATTTATATAGTATATAGATGCATTTTTTAGTCAGAGAGAGTATTACACAGAGGAGGTTCGCCGTATCCACGAGTTTGTAGTGCTGCTACTGGTGGATGTAGACCGTTGTATCCTGGGAGATAGACGCCACTGAGTCCGTTAGCACCATAGCGGGGCGAATCTGTCTTAAGGATATAGTATCCAATACTAGCCTCGGTCCAGGTTCATTCCTTGCATATTATTATTATTTTATTGCTTTATTTTGTATATTTAATTAAATATAGAGTTGCATATTTAATTAATGATTTATTAGCATATTGTTAATTATCTCATGACATATTAGTATAAGGGTTGTTATATCTTAAAAGTCACATTAAGCGTATATTTTACCAACACTCAATGTATCACCACACCTTCCTACTCCATTTCTCTAAATGGGGCACTCTTTGGGTTCTTTAAGGGAAAAAGAGGGATTCGACAAGGGGACCCCTTTTCCCCACTATTGTTTATCATTGCTATGGAGGTCCTCTCACTCTCCTTGTCTAACTCAATTAGCAGCAACCAGACTATAAGTATCATTGGAGATGTAGCAAACTGGCTCTTTCCTATCTATCATTTGCGGATGATGTGTTATTATTCTCACATGGCAGCCTTCCTCAGTCCAAACTCTTTATCAAGCCCTCAATAACTTCCTCACAATTTCTGGTTTAAGCATTAATGTATCCAAAAGTTTAGTCTTCTTTGCTGGGGCTGATAATCAGGTGAAAGCAGATATACTTGCCTTATTGCAGTTTGGAACTGGCACTCTTCCTGTAACCCACCTAGGTTTGCCACTCTCATCCAAGGCCCTTAGTGCAGCAGACTGTACTACACTTGTTGTTAGACTCACTGCAAGGGTGAAGAGGTGGTCTGCTAGATTCTTCTCCTTTGCAGGGAGGGCAGTCCTCATTAAGTTCATCCTTTGCTCAATGCAATCCTATTGGGCTCAGACTTTTGTGTTGCCTAAAAAGGTTATTGATGAAGTTAATCAAATTTTGATGAGATTCTTATGGTCAGGCCTTGAACTAAAGAATTCTTGTGCTAAAGTGGCATGGGATGTGGTTTGCAGACCTAAAATTAATTGAGGTTTGGGTTTTCCTAATCTTGAAATGGCCAACATCATTGCTAATTTGAAACATATCTGGAAGTTGTTTGCCAGAAGGAAGGATAGTTTATGGGTTGGTTGGGCATATAGATACTTGATTAAAGCTAGAAGCTTTTGGGCTGTGAATCCAACAGCCTTAAGTTCAGGGTTCTGGAGAAGATTACTAAAGTTAAGGGGCATGGCAAGAGGATTGTTGAAACATAAGATGGGAAAAGGCACAGACACAATGATGTGGATGGACTTTTGGCTACCAAATGGACCTTTAATTCAACAGCTCAACCTGAATGTTGGGGAAATTCTTCAACTGGACATGAGAGTCAAAGTTGGTAACCTAATTTCCTTGAACCATTGGGTTGTTCCACCCTCAGTAGCACACATCCCATTCTTCCGATCGTAAAACTTTCATTCCCAGCTTCATGATCTGCCAACCCCTTCAAATGAACCTGATACAATTATTTGCTTACCCTCACCAAACTTAAACTTTTCCCTTGCTCACACAATTAAGTACTTGCTCCCACCCACATTCGTCTTTCCTTGGCATCATATTGTTTGGTTCAAATTCCATATTCCCAAGCAAAGTTTTATTGCTTGGCTGGCAACAAAGGGTAGACTTAACACACTGGATAGGAAGTCTATGAAGCACAAACACCACATCAATGCATGCTATCTTTGTTTGTCCAACAGCAAGTCTATGGATCACTTATTCTTCAAGTGTGAATTCTCAAAGAAAATCTGGACTTTTGTTCAACACACAGCTGGATTCTACATTCAGCCAGCGAGTTGGAGGGGCTTAATTTCGTGGTGTTCTGATAACTGGAGCTCAAAGGGATTCCTTGTCCACAAGTTACTTCTCTCAGCTGCTGTTTATTTTCTTTAGATGGAGAGGAACAATAGAGCTTTTAGGAATTCCTCTTCATCCCCATCCACAGTCATTAATCAGATCAGGAATTGTACTAGAGGGAAACTTGTTTCAATCATACTGAAAAGTTCAACTGATTTGAGGAAAATGAATAAACTTGAGGACCTACAGAAGCTCTTCAATGATGGCTGCTACTTAGCAAATGCTCACTCTCTGGCTTTCTACTGAGAGTTGGTGTTCATTATGGTTGTAACTAGAAAAAAGTAGTGCATGTAACTGGAAAGTTGTTGATTTGCTTGTAGTTTTCTTTTGGTTTGCTGATGTATCTGGAAGTAGAGTTGCAAGTTGGGCGGGTTCAACCTAGCCCAGTCCCAACCCAACCTCAACCCGAATAGGGTTGGGTTGGGCCAACCCGAATTATACTTAACATGGGTTATAGTAAAAACCCAGCCCGAATATTTTTGGGCCGATCGGGTCGGGTTGACGGGTTGACTTTTTAAAAATTATTTATATTTTTTTTTTGGAAAATATATATATTATATAGATATATATATATATATATATATATATATATATATTATTAAAAAACAAAAAAAATTTAGGGCAAATCATTTCAGCCTCCCCTGTCTCATTCTCAACTCTCTCTCTCTCTCTGCAACTTCAAACTACAAAATCTACAAGAATCAGAAGTTCAAAATCCATATATTTCAGATCTGTCTGCAAGAATCAAAAGTTCAAAATCCATATATTTCAGATCATTTCAGATTGTTCAAAAAATCAAAACCCATATGTTTCAGTTTCCATCGCCGGCTGTTCCAATTCTTGCCGTTCGCAAGCTTCAGCCGTCTCAAGCTTGCCCCCCTCTCTCTCTGCAACTGCTAACTTGTATGTATGGGTTTTGTTTTTATTTTTGGAAGTGACGGCGGCGGCGGTGGATCGGCTGAGGACGGCGGCAGAGAGAGAGAGAAAGAAAAAGAGAAAGAGAAAGAAGAGAAAAGAAAAGAGAAAAGAGAAAAAAAAAAAATTCGGGCAGAGAGAGAAAGAAGAAAGAAGAAAGAGAAAGAGAAAGAAGAGAGGAGAGAGAGAAAAAAAAAATATATATTCGGGCAGAAAGAAGAAAGAAGAAAGGGAAAGAAGAGAGAGGAGAGAGAGAAAAAAAAAAAAAAAATATTCGGGCAGAAAGAAGAAAAAGAAAGAAAAGAGAGGAGAGAGAAAAAAAATTTCGGGGAGGAGAGAGAAAAGAGAAAAAAAAAAAAAAATTAATTTTGGGTTTTGGGTTGGGTTCGGGTTGAGCTCGAGCCCAACCCGAATTGTTTGGGTTTTGACAAAATCCAACCCGAGCATGAACCCGATTTGTAAATTGCGTGTCCAAATTTTAAAATTTTTGGGTTGGGGTTGGGCTGGACTGGGCTAACCCGCCCAACTTGCAGCCCTATCTGGAAGTAGTGCTTTTGCTTTGTTTCTGCTTAGGCAGTCTGTGTTTGTCCTATTTGGACTTCCCTGTAAATTCTTTCCTTCTTCTAATACAAGCTTACCTTTTAACTAAAAAAAAAAAAAGCAAAAAATTAAGAATCAAATTCCTTACATGTACTTTGTGTCTGATAAGGGAACAAAGCTTCTTGGAATTTCTCCACTTAGTTTGTTAAAGTTAAGGTCTCTCCAAGAGAAATCAGGAGAAACAAGAGATAAGTATGTGATCAAAAAGCCAATTAAGAAAATAAGAGATACATGAAAAAAGATAATAGAAAAGAAAGGTACAATAACAAGGTTTGCAACTTTGCCATTTCTCCAATATAATCAGGTATCTGTCCCATAATGTTACAGCTCCTTAATATTCTGCGATGCAATCACACACACACACACACATATATATATCACTTGAAAACACAGGAAGATAATAATAATATATATTCCATAAGAGAATATAGAAACTTTCAACGCACAGTGTCTTCATGATTTTCATATTACTACGAAGTGGAAAAGCTGCTTCGCTTCCACTTAAGTCAGCTGCTTCGCTTCCACTTAAGTCACTGATTCTCCTGCGTTTGTTTTTATTTTAATGAAGAATGAACACACATTAGATATTATTTTTACATAAAATGGGTAAATCTATGAAAAGAGGAATTTACTTACAAGTCAGTCAGATTTTTCAAGAGAAAAATTCCAGAATGAATTGGCCCATCCAAACCACTAGCCTGAATCACCCTGTCATAATTTTATTTAAATGAATAGATAAACAGAGAACATCTTCCAAAGAAAAATTGAAATACTAAAACAAGTAAAAGTCGCACAATTTTTCGAGATTTGTTCAGTTTTGGATGAAATTAAAAATCTTTCCTGTAAAGCTGTTGTCACTAATCCTATCGCAATGTGTAAAAGAATAAATGGAACAATTGATTTTAAAATTTAGACACAAATAAGTATCTAGACATAAAAAAATAAAAATAAATCAACTTTAGATACATACAATGTGATATCCTCCGTTTGTTTATTTTTAGTGGTGTATTATTTGTTTAAAAGAAAGAATGGATAATGTTATGTGGCACTTGTAGGAGTATAGTGGTGGCAACAGTAACACTTGTCCTTATGCATGGGATGAAGTTGCCAGGTGTATTTCCACTTGCATTAAAGCTTCTGGAAGAAGCTTAGTTGACTCAAAAGTCTTCAAGGCTTAGTGGAAAGTGTATATATCTTTATATAATAGAGTACAAAACCCCACACACACACACACACACACACATCACTTGGTCTCGGCTAGAGAGAGAGAGAGAGACTGGAGGGAGGAGGAAGGAGGAACCGGTAGCCATAAGGAGGTAGGTTTTCAGATCTTAATTTTTTTTTTTTATTTTCAAATCTGGTATTTAAAAGAAAAGGAAAGTTTGAAACTTTTGCTTCCGGATATTCTCTCAAAATATTGTTTTAGTTGTGTAATCTGTTGGCCAATAATCTGAAATTTTTGTAAATTTAGTCTTGTTGTGGAATCTGAACAGAACACTAGATTGGCTTTCGGAATGCTATTTTCATACTTTTACTTTTACTATTTTCTTTGAAGTTTTAAGGCATTGAAATATCCTATAAATTGAACTTGTGGAATTTTATTTGATTTGATTTACTTACCTATTGAATTCATTATGGAATCATTTTAGTGTGTAAGGTAGTCCATGGGATTACTTTTCACCCAGAAATCCCTCTATTTTGTGTGACTAAAATTAATTCCTGTATATAGTTTCTTTCTGGAATATTTATTGTGAATTTCATATTACAATCAATTGGGTTACAATTAGTTTTCGTGTATATCAGTTTGGTCAATAGAAGACTTTATACGAACTTTTGAGTAAATAATATTTTTTTTATTTGCTGAAAGATTTTTTTTAGATAGCGAGTAGCCTTGTTAAAATGGGTATTTTATGCTCATGAAGGCTGTGCACAGATTATGCTCTTTGCTGGTAGTATTTCTTTGAAGTTCTCTTTTACAGATTTGTATTGCATGTAGATTTCTTGTTTATTTTATTATATTTGTAATATTTGATTTATGAATTAGTAGTATTGATTTATTAGTAAATTTATATTTGTAAATTGTGATTATGTAGGAGAATGAAAATGTTTTTGGGTAAGGCTGCCTACGGTGGTAATTGATTATGTTTTTTTTTTCAACTGTGTATGTGACTCAGAGTCAAATAGGTAGGGTAAGAGTTTCCCTTAGGTTGAAAAACCTTAAATGGCCCGAGCCCTAACGAGGGGGTGTTCACGGTCCCGGGGTGAGAGCCCCTTAATCCGAATGACGGGGGCAGCGGTCCCGAGGGGTAGGTCCTTAAAGACGCGTGGGGGTACACAGTATTGGACCGATTTTGATTACTATTGTTTTGCGGGATTGGTTACCTTTGATGAGCAAATCAATTTCTTGATTTTTCTAGATACATGAGAGTTGATATGAGATGAATTTTGAATAAAATTTTTAATTTTTTCATTGAGTTGGAATACTATATATATTTTAGTTTTGTATTCGTGGACAGCCTACTTAAGTGTTCAGTTAAAATTTCCACATGGCTATAGTTCTTCGCTACCTCAACTATTAAAGAAGGTTCATTTGAATCTTGATTTTAAGAAAAATATATATATATTTCTATTTATTTTTCATAAAATCGGAAATTCTGGGCTCTTTTGAGCTCACCCTTTTTCTAAAATTTCTTTTCAGGTCCTAGTGGTGGTGAAAAGGTCGCGGTGCAGGAGTAGGGATGGCATTAGGCGGGTTTCTTTCATGGAGGCGTGGCAGTCCGTGGGAGACTGCTATGTATATATTTTTTTTGTACCGGCGGCTGCCTTGTTGTTTGGGTTATAAATTATGTATATAATGAGCAGCCTAGTGGGGACTTGTGTGTATCTCCTTTTGTGATTGTAAATGGAACTTTTGGTTGTATATAAAGACTATGGACGGAATGATCATGGGTACGTTAGTTGTTGTTTAAGGGTTTTTGGCTATGAGTTTGGATTTCCTTTATGTTATCAAGCAGGTTGTGATTTTTTTTTTTAGTATTGGTGTTTGATTCACGCTTTAGCGGGAAGCGGGGCGTGACATACAAGTCCTTCAAAGTGGTCAGGTCTGCAAATGTTCCCGGCAGCTCCCCAGAGAAATTGTTCGAGCTTATATTAGAAGAAAAGGCTTCCTTCAGATGAATAAGCTTTTGTTTTAGCCACAAACGGAAAAGGAAAAACAAGCAGTGTCAATTAGATGGTAGGAACAAATATATTTTAAAAGATCACTCAGCTGCCATTCATAATAATAACAAAAAGACCAAAACAAAGGACCAATATCTGATTCACTAATGCAATTCAAACACTCTTTTAAGAGAAAAATGAATCCCTTTTGCTATGGGATCTTTTTTTTATACAATGTTTCAGAAGCATTATGCGTTCATATGGCGTAAGGATAAACAAGTTGATAATCAGCGTCAAGACTCGAGACAAATAATCAGAATTCAGATTGACCAGGTAGAGATCAGCGGTAGATGTGGAAGAGGCAGTCCATTGCTCATCAGCTGACATACTTTTGATCAGGCTTTCTTTACTCATGTCAGTTTCATGGCTTTGTTGGAACACATCTTTCATTTCCTTGACATTTTTGGCGCTATTAGGAGCACTTGGAGTCAACTCCTGAGTAATTGCTCTACCTTCGAGCATGCTGACCACAGAAGACATGGTAGGTCTAACTGCTGGCGTGACATCAGTACACAGCAGAGCTATCTTAATCATCCCCAACACCTCTTCTTTGTTGAGGTCTGGTCCCAACCTCGGATCGACTAGCTCCAGCAGATCCCCATTCTCCTTCAATTCAAGTGCCTAGGAAAAATATAAAATTGCTATCTTAGAATTCAAGTATGATTGGGTAAGCATTGTGATTGGAAGTAAAGGGTACCAAATCTCTCTGTCTCAATGAAAATGAAATAAAATTTCCAAGTGTTGAACAAAGAGCATATCATTGTGATTTCAGTACTTAGTAGTATACTACTTAGCCAAAGTTTCACATGATATGAAATGAATGTGAATTATCTGCCAGCCAGTTTCGTACAAAGCGATATTCATCTTTGAAGAACTAATATATGTTACAATGAAATATTAAACTTCTTGCAATGCACGAGGTTAATGGCCAGTTATTTTAGAAGCATTTTATTGATCTGCTTTGTTTAAGCAACAAACACGGCTTAAAATATATTGACAATAAAAAACAAGTAGAAACAATAGATGCAAGAAAATGAAATTACCAAATCAAGAAGGTTAAAGCATTCCTCCTTTGAACGGTAGCTGGTGTTATTCCTCCCACTGACAATTTCCAATGTGACAACACCAAAACTATAAACATCTGCTTTGTCATTCAGGTAACCCCGCATTGCATATTCAGGTGCCATATATCCGCTGTAAAGTCATAAATCGTATCACATTCTCTATGAGATATATATGTTGTCAAAAATGTTGTTCTTACTAGATGAAATATAACTAATACTTGGTGTACGTTTCAACAGGGCACACCCATTAAGAAGGTATCAGTATATATGTGAGTAAAGAAATCTGAGTGAAAATAACGGTAGGCTCTGACTATGAATTAGAGCAGGTGACTCACTAAGTTCCAACAATCCGAGTGCTTATGTGGGTACTGTCCTCTTCATCAAGTTTGGCCAAACCAAAATCAGATATCTTAGGGTTGAGATCCTTATCAAGCAGCACGTTAGTGGCCTTGATATCTCTATGGACAATCCTTAGTCTCGATTCTTCATGGAGATAAGCCAAACCTCTAGCTATACCAATGCAGATCTTTTGCCTAGTTGGCCAACACAATTTCAACTGGAATTCTTCTGGGCCTTCAAATCATCAAGTACATAAACATAACTAATCAGCTAAAGCATACATGTATAAATAATGTCTGTCAGTCTATTTGTGGTCTGATACCAAAAGCAATAAAGCAAAGCATGTGTTTTAAGTTTACCCAATAAAGCATGAAAAAGACTGTTATTTTCCATGTACTCGTATACTAGCAACAATTGATTTTCTTCAATACAGCACCCATAGAGCTTTACAAGATGAGGGTGTTGCAATGCAGAAATCATGCCTATTTCATTCACAAATTCACGGTTTCCTTGCTTCGATTTGGAGGAAAGCTGCTTCACAGCAATTGTAGTACCGTCTGACAAAAGTCCCTTCATTTCAAAAAAAAAATTGATTTTCGCATTAGATTTTCTTTTTTAAGGAAAGAACATCACTATTTTTGTTTTTGATAAGGAAAGAGCATCACTATTATAGCTTTAAACATTAAAATGATAATGAAAGTAATCCTACCTTGTAAACAGTGCCAAAACCACCCTCTCCAATCTTATTAGCAGCATCAAAATTGTTTGTGGCAGCTTTTATTTGTCGTAAGGTAAATGAACCAGTCTGTAGGTCAAGACCCTTCAGATCTGTCAAAGAAATTGAGTTAGATAAAGAAATTGAGTTAGATAACCAAGCCGTTGCTGCAGCACCAAGTGTTAAACAGACCAATATCCAAACAAAAAAAAATTCATAAAAAAATTATTGTTCAAAGTGTTGAAATGTACAGAGGCATCCATATACCGTTACACAGCACTCATAATGACAAAACTATCTATAAAACATAACGAACAAAGCCATTTAGCTTCCTCATAAAGGAAGAATATGATGATGGTGATGGTGATGGTGATGGTGATGGTGATGATATTTAAAATTACTATTTCTCATAATTATCAGGGGCTTGCCTAAATGGTTTGCAAATACCTTGATTCATTGTATCATTTAGTCGCACGCAGCCTTTCCACCAAAGGATTCCCAGAAACAGGAAGGTAATGAATGCAACTGCAACCACAATTCCAGCCACAGAGCCTCCTGATAAACTTTTTCCATGTTCTGATAATGGAACAAAATCTGCTTGCGGAAACAAATTATTCAGCCATTAATAATATTTCAAAGAAGTCCAAAAGAAAAGGGGAAAAAAAGCACAGAAAAAGGAAGAAAGATGAAGAGAATTTTATTCTCTTTTTATTGTTAATATTTCACAATAACATGAACATAAAAATATATTTACTGGTATGATGATCTGTTTGGCATTTTCAAAGGGTCCTAAAAGAGCTGCAGAAGGAACATATAGATAGCAAACCATTCCATTATCTAATGGTAATTCAATAATTAATTAAAAAAAAAAAATGGAATTTCACCAAAAACTGATACTTTGGACTTCGAGTTCAGGTCATCTCCTGAAGTTGTACACATTCAGCCAACAATGAAAAAAAAAAGAAAAAGACGTTGTATATGATATTAAGATAAAAACCAAAAAAGACTCGGTGATAGATAACGTGAAAATTCCAGTTCAGTTCCCATTTATTTTTTCAAAAAACAGTACTGTAGTCTCTAACCATGTGAATCAATTTCCTCTGTTACATATGAAAGTAAACTTGAAACCATATTGTGAAAAGTATGGGGCAGTTCCCAACCATTAACACCATATATGATGAATAGAAACCTCACTAAAAGTATACAACTCACCAGGATCCACCAAAATAGCCGAAATTAGAGGACCATATACGCCTTTAACAGGGATAGATATTGTCCCTTTTCCAGCCCAGTAGAAGCGGATTTCCAACGTATCATTAGTGACTGCTGCATGAAAATTTCTTACGATTGCCTTACCAACACCACCCGCTTCACTTTCAATATTGAAATCCTTCAGCACCCGCTCTCGCTGCAAAATTTAATTAAATACAATTACATGCTGTGACAAGGGTTTAGATTTCAGTTTGATATTAATTTAGAAGCAGGTGAAACTCAAATTATAGTCCAAAAACTGAATTGTTTCAAAGAAGAAGAAGAAGAAGAAGAAGAAGAAAATCTTGAATTTGGTATGGTGAAGATGAAAAATCTAAATGGCCCAAAGTAGATAAAATAAAATAAAATCTTTTAGTAGATGATCACTTTTTATTTTATAGATAACGGCCTCTCATCTCATTAACATCATGAGTATTGCAACTGTATCAGATAAATAGGCTTCTTCTACCAATTCTTGATAAGAAAAAAAATGTGAAAATCTACCTGAAGGTAAATGTCAAATATGCGCCTTCCAAGGCTGAAATAGCTTTTGTCGTCAGTAAACATGATCTCTGCAAAGTGAAGCCTTACTGTGTAGTTTCCATTTTGCAGACAGAATCCATAGTAAGTCAGGGAGAGGGGAGAAATTCTTGCTTTCATGTACAACTCGGGATTTTTCATATAGAGTTTAGAAGCACTTTCCAAAGTAAAGGACTTTTCATTGGCGGAGCTGTCCAAGAAGTGACCAGTGCTGCTAAATGCCCAGTTCGTTTTACTCTTGAAGAACAATGATGGTCCACCTGATTCTGTATCACCTTCATATCTGGTTCCACAATTTATATGGAGAGAAGAGTATGGAACTGAGACCAAAAAAATAAGTTAGTCACCAGCACGCGCGTGCACAGAGAGAGACAAAAAGTAAACTCCCCCTTCTAAATTTATCCACCTACTCAATTGAAACCTCTCTAACTTTTGAGACTAATCTATCAAGTGGTGTCCAGATACGCATTGTGACATCATGTACGTATAATTGCTCTTAAACATATGTACAACTTTGAAAGAGAAATAATTTGATTTAATAAGAAAAAAGAGTAAATTTCTCTTAAAAGTGAGAATTGCATAAACAGGTTTATTGTTCACTATTGGTGCATGGCAGGACAATACATAGCCCTAGTTGATCAACTGGCGCATGTTCAAAATCAACATCTTTTATTAAAGAATCTCATCAACGATTGAATTAAAATTATTAAAGCAAATAAAGAGAAAATAAAATAATAGAAAAAAAAAAAAAAAAAAAACATGGCTTTGGTTGCACTCGTGGGATTTTTGGTGACTTGGAGAGATGAAAACTTATTTATTATGATGTATGATAATACAAGTG